ATTTAGCATATAGTAAGGTAATGCAGTTTCGTTTATGTTGCTGGGCTTTGGAGGCAAACAGAGCATGAAGGGGCAAGTACCACGTCCCCAGGGGGCAGCGGTTTTGCCACTGTTGTGGTACTAATAGCCGAATTGAGGATGTGAACCCCTGTTATTGGAATGCCCAGCCTATAATGATATTCGTGCTGAAGAAGGATTCGATCATCAACAGAGCATGTTGGAGGCCATGCAATGGGAACCCGCACGTCTGGCGAGGAAATTGGAACGTATGTGGGCTCACCGAAACTCAATTACCCCCTTTAGACGCTAGTCTGGGCTGATGTGCGGTGTTTTCCTTTCCTCCGTGGCTTTTAGGCGTTGTAGTATTACCCTTGGGCCCTCGGCTCGTATGGGTAATCTTACAGGTATGGGGTCACGCACCCCCAACCATGTAACACACACACACACACATAACACGTCTTCGTCGCAATTAAGCCCGTGAAATTTTACGGGCGCTGTGCATTACGGCTTGGGGGATTACGGGTCAAGACCTTGTGATTACGGGTAATGTAACCTGTGGATGACTTCCAGCACGGGCAACCAACAAAATGTCACCTGTGTTATTCCTTATAAAAGGAATGCTTTGGCAACTTAAAAATAAGCATGTGTACAAATTTTCTTGGCCGGTAATTACATGTGAAGTCCACGTGATTACGGGTAAACATGAATTTACGGGTGAAAACCTTTCCCAGAGTGATATTTGTCTCTGACGACAAGCAACCAGGGGTGAAGATGTGTCGTTATTTGCAGTGGATGGGGCAACCTAAGCACTGCGAAGGCTACATCTTACCGAAACATCACGTCACTTTGATGCGTTTTAGGATGTGTGTTTGGCCTTTGGCTGTCAACCGACCCCATGGTAGGGAACGGGCCGCAAGGTGGTGTCGGGTCTGCAATAATCGTCAGGCAGTGGAGGACGAACGGCACGTGCTACTAGAGTCTCCGGAATATGCGGATATCCGTGCTAAGCTCTGGACCCTAGGCATTGCTCCAGGAGATGTTATGAATGCGGTGATGGGTGTCGAGAATCAACGCGGATTGGCACATGTCTTGGATTGCATACGGAGACGTAGGTTGCGGTACATAGACGACTAATGAGGATCACAGTACAGTGTTTTGATTTGTTGCCTTTTTTTATTCTTTTCAGTTATTGTTTCCAGCTTGGCGGCTCATGAGCCTCTTGGCTCGTCTGGGCCGTACAAGCTCAAGAAGCTTGTAATCCAAAAACGGGTGGACATCTTTGATGGTGAGCTCCGCGAGCATCGTAAGGCCAGTCACGGCCATTTAAAAAGCCTAGCTTTGCGATATCGGCGACATATCTCCAATGTCATGTGCGGCTTTGTTGGTGTAGCTAGGTAGCTATCTAGCTCCTAGCTAGCTGGGTTGTTCAGCGGTAGCTGTTTAGGGTTCGGCTGATCCTACCCCAATACCTCCCTTTAAGCATACAAGGGCGTAAATCCACACAGCAGCAAATCCGACCTGACTGGATCATTTCCCAAGGAGTAACCTTAGTAGCTCTCAACCCTTTAGGGGACGATGCTCCCCTTCTTCCCAACGTGTGATCAAAGGTTCCCCAAAGGTGGTCTTCTTCTTCTTCCCCTTAAGTTCCCCAGCTGTGCGGTGCCGACGGCGGCAGCCAGACTTGAGCTCTACAGGAGGACAATCATAAAGCCCTGGAAGGTACAAGCTACGGTGTGAATCACGTAGTGTGATAGATATAGATATTTTCTCCGGTAGCTCCAGTATTCCGGGAGGTGCAGTAAAACGTTACAGCGCAGCCAGGATATCCGGCGTTCCTGTTGACTGCGGGTGCTGTTCCCCATAAGCAGCTGTGATGAACGGAGCCAGTCATCGTGAACACTATTGGTGTGACATGCCTTTACAGTGCGTACGGCTTATAGCATCAGTGTTAGGGTACCTGACAGGTGAAGCGCAGTGGGTAGCTGCGGATTAGATAGCCAGGGAAAAATAATAGCAGCAGGGAAGTGCAGAGCATGCGCAGGCGGCTGGCGGCGGCGGGTACGGGCCGGTAGGCTGTTCGATGCTGTGCTCGTGTCAGATTCGTGCTTAGTTGCAGCTAGAATATTTGCGTGGGGTCGCTGCGCACGAGGAATGAGGTTCGCCAACCCTTTTTGTCTACCTGCCAACTTGATGGACTGCATGTCAGCCCGAGCCATTTGGAAACCCACTTCTGCAACCTGAGAGGGGCCTGGTGCCCTGCCAGTGTCGTTATAATCACATGCTTCGAAATTCCTGCTGGGATTTGAAGCGGTGGCTTGAGGACGCATGCAGCAGGATGCAAACTCAAAGGCGGGCCTGCTAAACTTATCTCTAAGATTAAACCAGCAAGCTAGCATTTGAAAGCTATGTGGCATTATCATGCGTTCTAGGCTGAACAATATCCGCTCTCTACATCGCGGTCAACGACATCTGCTGTCCCCTTGCAATCTGTTTATCTAGGACCAGGAAGCTGGATACCAATGTGCAGTTTGTCCATGGCTGGTTTTCAAAAAAATTCAGGAGAGGAGGTATTGTGTCATGCAACCACAATAATTGCGCCCGCAAGCAATGAAATCGATACAAACTGCGGCCAGTCCGTAATTGCAAATTGGTAGACCACCATGTTTAAGCCGGTTTAGCAGCTGTACATGGCCTGGCATGGTTTCGTTCGTGGGAAGTTGCGGCGGACTGCTGCCGGGCGCCGTACAGGCCGTAATCTCGAACCAGCGGTGGAAGGGGCTTATGGAAGTCAACCGTCTGAAGCAAGAGCCCTTAAAATAGGCTCTGCTTAGTTCTACAATCATATCGCTTACAACGGTGTGCCAACATCCACCGAACACGATGAAGGGGACTTCTCGTTAACGTAGTGTAGTCCTCTGTAGTCCTGCTTAGTTAGATTCCGCGCCGGCAGGTTGCCATAGGCATCGACTTTTATTGCACATAGTTTGCTTTCAATCATCAGAGCATGCAACGTGATTGCGCACAATAGGTGGAATATCGCTGGGTTAGTTGGCGATTCACGCCAAAAGGGATTCTACACCAGAAGGCCGCTCAGGCAGCATAGAGGCAACAAACTTGGCGCTGAAGCGACTAAAGCATCGGGCTTGTGACCGGTAAGCTGTGCGGGCTCTGGGCGACTTGATATGGATACATGTAAACCGTTGGCTGAGCCGAATAAACCTGGTAACACCATCCTACCTGTTTAAGCTTTCTATTCTCTGATATTTGTAATCATGCGCACATTCTGCCAACTAAACACGACTTTCCTCAACTCTGTACCAGGCCTAGGTCTGCGAGCGAGATGGGCACCGGACTGGCCCTTGTGCTGGTCCTCTCATTTGCTGTGGCTTTTTATGGTAAGAGGAATTTTTGCATCCTTTCGGCTTGCGGTGTCGCTTTTTGTCACATGCTGTTTATGTCACAAGCAATATGTCGCCTTCCCTCCGATAACCATCATTACAGCGCAGCTCTTAAACATAAATATAATTGAGCTAACTATTCATTCTAGTTATGGTTGCTCAGCAATATGCTCATCGCCCCCCCAAATGACTAAAACCTGCAACTTAAACCGCACACAGAAAACTCGTATTCATGAAAAGCATTTTCAAAATTCTACGATCTTGGCTTGATTAAATATTTACCGTGAAGAGCCTTACTTAAAACCTGGCCTTGCTCGAAACCACTTTCGCCACGTCACAGGTGCAGCGTCGGCAAATGACGAACATTCGGCAACACCTATCAACCACCCGGGGCGTGGTCTACTGGCGACCACAAGCCCCGGCTTTCCTTGGTGCAAATGCGAGACGTACGACTGCACCTGCAACCCTTATACTTTGATACCGTTGCAGCCCAATAAGGTCCGTTCGTAAGCCACGTCATGTCACATATGCGCTTTCCGGATAAGCTGTCTTATGTATGCGGATCATCAAATCCGATATTCCATGCCATGAATGCCGGCGCTTCTAAAAAGCCGCTGAGAACCCCTTCAAGCCCTTACAAGCATAGGAAGGAAGGAAGGCCCCCAACAGCCCCCCTCTCCCGTCTCCGTTTCCCCATCCGACATTGCTGATATTTCTCCCTGTGCAATTGTGCCCCTCCTCCCGGCCTTTTTCTCCCCCTGCAAATACCCCATCATCACAGCGGCTGGGTTTTGTCCGGACTTGCTTTCGCGTGGCCTACATCGGCTGTGACCCCAATCTGGCGTGTTGCCGAGGGCTCACAGACAGCGTGCAGAAATTTAGTCTGGACACGAACCCCCAATGTGCCAATACTGCCAACATTTACGGAATAACGGTCAACGGTCAGATGTACGACTCCTGGGATACACACGTCCACGACACAGGTACTACGTTTGAATGTCTCTCGACATTTCTGTTACCTGGGAGGCAGGGGGCATCCTTTTGGGGGTTTGTCCAGCTGGGCATGAATGCCCGATATATCTTATTAGATAGATCGGTCGAGATCGGTCAATCGATGGGTCCCCGGCGGGGGATTTCCGTGTATGACGCAGAATGTGTAGAAGAAGCCGTGAAGAGGCCGTGCAGCTAGTGCCCTTAGCCCCCAACTTCACTGAAGGATACAAACCAGGATCCAAGCTGGGTTGATAACTGCCTTGCTCCGGTTGTGCTGCTGAGAATAACACAAGTTGATGATGACTGGGGCCACATCGAAATCCTGCCCCGCAATCGGTCTTCCGAAAGGTTTCCGCGGGACTGCTTCCATCTAGATTTAGCTAAGCGAGGCCGTGCGTGTTCCGGGCCTGGCACTCACGTTTACGGGGCTCTGTCGTTTTCCTTTTTGCCGTTTTCCTTTTGGCAACAGGCTACGAGTTGAAGATTTACAATCTGCAGGCCAGCAACGCCACCTTTCCAGGCAGCACCATTTGCGTTTTGGGTTACCCCGCGTGCTCGACTTGGGCGGACCTGTGCAGAGGCTACCCGGCACGGGGCTGCAGGTACGGCAGGGGACATGGGAAAGTGGTAGTTGTACGGCAGCAGGAAGCGTGTGTAGTACGGAAACATCCATTTGCAAGGATGGATGTGGGAGGTTTTGGGAGGGGCAGAATGGATGTTCATCTGGAGGGATCCAGGATCCAAAATCCAAAATCCAAAAGGCGGGCTGATATAATACATCAGAATTAAAAGACTTCATGCTTGCAGAGCTGCGGTCTTGGTATGGTGCCAGCTTGCGTGCGCCTGGACTCTCCGACCTTCGGATTATCTCGACACCAACGAAACACACTTTTAAGGGCAATGTTCATAACCCCACCACCGCATCCCCCCCCACAGGTATTCGATTGTGGACACGTCAGAATCCAACTACTGCCCCATCTGCCGCCTGAATCCGCCAACATCACCGCCGACTTTACCGCCATCTCCTCAGCCGCCCAGCCCCTCGCCACCGTCTCCTCAGCCGCCCAGCCCCTCGCCACCGTCTCCTCAGCCGCCCAGCCCCTCGCCACCGTCTCCTCAGCCGCCCAGCCCCTCGCCACCGTCTCCTCAGCCGCCCAGCCCCTCGCCACCGTCTCCTCGGCCGCCCAGCCCGTCGCCACCGTCTCCTCAGCCGCCCAGCCCCTCGCCACCGTCTCCTCAGCCGCCCAGCCCCTCGCCACCGTCTCCTCAGCCGCCCAGCCCCTCGCCACCGTCTCCTCAGCCGCCCAGCCCCTCGCCACCGTCTCCTCGGCCGCCCAGCCCGTCGCCACCGTCTCCTCAGCCGCCCAGCCCCTCGCCACCGTCTCCTCAGCCGCCCAGCCCCTCGCCACCGTCTCCTCAGCCGCCCAGCCCCTCGCCACCGTCTCCTCAGCCGCCCAGCCCCTCGCCACCGTCTCCTCGGCCGCCCAGCCCGTCGCCACCGTCTCCTCAGCCGCCCAGCCCCTCGCCACCGTCTCCTCAGCCGCCCAGCCCCTCGCCACCGTCTCCTCATCGCCCAGCCCCGCCACTCCCCCATCGCCCAGCCCCGCCACCGTCCCCCAAACCGCCCAACCCCCTCCTCCGAATGTGCGATTTGCATTTTTATCAACATATATCCCAAACCTAATTCCAGCGATTCCAATATCTTCACCTTCGGCAACGGTGCCAGTTGCTCAGAGCTTGGCGACCTGATCATTGCAGACACCACCTCCAACGCAGCGGCAGTGAACGTGACGATCTCTGTGCCATTTACGGTGACGGAATGCTCGTCCATGTACGATGAAGACAAGCGAGTCTATCCTCTTTTGAAGGTTTGCGGCGCTTTTCTGGATGATGGTCGCGGCGATTTTGATCAATTGGAGATCACTCTTACGGACCCGATGTACGGCTTGCAAGCCTGGGTGCTATCTCTTACAGGCGGTGTATGTCCGTACAGTCTCAAGGGGTACTCCCTGGTGGGGGATATCGTGGCGGCGGACGGACAGCCCTCGACCTGTGTAGCGGGGCACTTTGAGGAGCACTGCTCAGCGACGGCAGATCCGTCGCCGCCGTCGCCGGCACCACGGCCGCCGTCGTCGCCGTCGCCGCCACCATCCCCGGCACCGCCCCTTCCT